TGCAAATAAATGTATATACGTACACATAATTTTTGCATATAAGCTATTCAGTACTAAAAATTTCATTACTAAAAATAGTACACATAATATAAATTATAAATTAAGTAGAGCTACAATCGATTATCAAATAATTATTTTGATATGAAAACTTCAAAAAAGAAGCCGTGAGTAATCAATAAGATAGCAAATACACGCATAGAGAGCCACACAAAATGCCATGCTATTGTTTAAATTTGCATAATTCAAAATATATACAGTCGAAAATATTGAATAGCAAATAACATACTCAAAAATACATATATTCGTGTGATAATACGCTTAAATTTAAGAAAAATGAGGAAGTAGGTGTAATTAAATGCTAAAATGTACCTTAGAAATATTTCGTTATAATAAGTGCTGGTTATCGAGTACTGTTATATTAGCGTCATGGTGTAACGACGAGCTGCGAACAAATAATTCTATAAATAATCATTAGGTTTCGTTATATATAATAACGGAAATAAGAGAGGTCACAATATCTACGCTAGCCATAATACTAGGTGGTGTTATGGCTTTCTCCTCTACTTATGGGTTAATAATTCAATTTATTATTAGCTTATTCGATGCACAGCGAGAACACTATTGATTCTATTGTTACCGAGTTATCACTCTTCGCAAAACTGCGATCGAAAGACGTAGTTGTGTAGCAGGCACTTACATTGAAGGGTGATATAATTGTATGCGGGAAATAATTGCATAATGTCATAATTACGACATGCAATGCTGCGACATAAGGAATTGATAATAACTATTCTCGCAACTTGCCGAGTGATGAGTATTCACAAGAAATCGTCGATAATTTGTAGTCTTAGTGTTCCTGAAAATGGATCAACGAAAGAACATTTGGCAAAGTCGCTTTTACACAGTTCCTAGAGCGTACATGAGCTTAGTAGGAATATGGCCTTATCACAGATTTCGCGACAGGTGTTTTCTTTTTGTGCCGATGTTTACGTTTTCCATTACCATTCTTATACCCCAAGTACGTGGCCACAAATTATATCACTTGTCTTTTCTTTTTATCCTCCAACATACATTATCTGAATATATTAATGTATATTTTATATTATATTATATTGGGTGGTCCGGAAAGTCCGTGCGGATTTTACAATGAAAAATTGTATATACGATACCTTCGTCAAAAATGAACGAAATTTAAATTTAAAAAAAGGATTTTAAAGCTTGAAATCTCTACTTTTAAAAGCTTATCACATTTTTTAAGTTTATATGAGTTTGATAATTTTTACATACCAAAAACTACGAGCTGAAAAAGATAAAAAATTTTCTTTTCACTTTGGGGGTCTCTCACGTGCCCAAAAAAATTTACGAAAATTTTCGACTACCCATCGTGAAAACTTAAAGCTTTCCCTACAAAATCATTTTTTTAAAATGTTCCTATAATTTTTTGTTTCTGAGTTATTCGCGAGTTAAGTAAAGAAGCATTCTGATTTCGATTGCTCATAACTCCGATAAAAATCATCA